AAGGCTATAACCTCGACTTATAACCTGAAACCAATCAGTGGTTTCAAGTCCTCTGACCAACTCCACCTGCCCCTAAAGTCGTGTGGCAGATTGTCCTTTACTATGACTGACATTGTATGTCTCCCATCCCGCAGGCTCTTCTGACATGACTGAAACACTCCTCCCCCTCAGAAGTGGGTTCTATGCCCCTTCCTTTTTAATATGGGTGGAGGCTTTTGATTGCCCCAAGAAGCTGAATTTAGTAGAATGGATGCCGTATGAATTCAAAGTCTGGTAAAGAAAGAACACAGCTTCTGCCTGGCTTGATTTGGGAGACATCCTCCCTCTGGGAAAGCCAACCATCACGTTGCAAGGAAGACTAAACAAGCTCATGCAAAGACTACATGAGAGGACCTCATGGAGAGGAGCTGACATGCCAGTAGACAACCAGCACCAACCACTGGCACTGGTAACTGAGCCTTCAGGTGATCCCAGCCTCCAACCTTCAAGCCTCTCCTGACACCAAGGGGACCAAAGGGGAGCTCTCCATGCTAAACCCTGACCAACTTGCAGATTCATGGAAAAAATAAATGGTGGTGGTGGTTGTGGTCGTGGTGGTGGTGTCACTGCTGTTGTTTTAAACCACTCAGTTCTTTAGTAACTGGACCAAGCCCTCTTCAACATGACTCCCACACCATTCATTCTGTCCATCTCTCTAGCCATGGCCTTTACCATCCTTATCAGGTCACCGATGATTTTGTCTCCTCCACCAGAAGCAAGGAATCTCACCCCCAATACCCCTGAGTCTCACTCAAAAGGGGCCTCCGTAAAAGATCGTCCTGACGGGCTAAAGAGAGCCAAGGAAGAGGAAACATCTTGGATCTATCATCATGAAGCTCAGATTTCTGCAGCTCAGGGACTTGCTGCTCTCTGATGGGACATTTTTAACCACCCCATCTCTAGCCTGTGGTTCCTGTTTTCAGCTGGTGTGGTCAAGAGCTACGGATACCAATAGGGTGACTGATAAGTTATTTCACTCAGTCCAGGACTTGATCAGACAGCAGTAGGAGGCACTCAGAGGGAGGAGCCTTATGTGATGAATACCACAACACCAGAGAAGAACACCAGGGAGAGGACACTAGGACGAGACACCAGCAGCTCTGACCTGGGCAGCCTTCTTGAGAAGATGCAGCCGCTCCTGCTCTTGCTGACCTTTCTTCTGACCTCCAAGGCTGAAGCGGGTGAGTGACTGTCCCCACCAGCAGAGGCCCAGCCCCATCCCACCGTGGCACAGCCCTGCCTACATGCTACACTCAGGCACATCCAAGCCCTGCTGAGTGTTCATCCCGCATCAGATCTGCCCACCTCACTCAGAGATGGGCAGATCTGAAGTGGGATGAACACTCAGCAGGAATGGTGGGGCAGGGGGTTGATCCCCAGGAGGGCCCGTGGGTACCATCCCCTTCCCAGGTCCTAACCTAGTCATCTGGAAATTGGGTTCTTTTACAAAGGCATCTGAAAGAAGGTTGGAAGGTAGGAATGAGAAATGAGTAATGCCTCAGGAAAGGGCAGCTTGGAGAAGGGGACCGGCTTCTGTAGTCAAAGTAACGCCCGCTAACTTTCTAACCCAAGGTGTTAAAATCTACCCTCAACCTTCACTCGTTTCTCCAAGCTTTGGCATTCTTATGCTGTCCATGAAAGAAGTCGAGGACCCAGTTGATCTCACAGTTGGTGGCGTCCTGGTCCCCATAACACTTACGTTGGACCATTTTTGTTTCAAGTTCCCTCTGGTAATTTGTCAGTCACAATGGGCACAATGGCTTTGGCAGGCCCCGTATTCCCTGCTACTTAGAACCATGACCAGCCCTCATCGAGAGGCTCATCGAGAACCATTGTTTCAGGCGGCCAAGACATTTACTGAGCACCTACTACGTGCAGGGCTCTGGCAAAGATCAAACGCAACCCACAATACAACATGAGCATTTTGAGCTCACGTTCCAAACATGACAAACGAGGAGCAGTTCATTAAGGTCTGGGAAACAAAAGGGGAGAGAGGACATAGGTACATTCAGGGAAAGGATTTTCCAGGATCCAGGTAGAGGGACTGCGCTCTCTACCACCCCGACTCCCACCTGCCGCAGTTTCTCTGCATCCAGCCTTTGGCTTCATGAGCACAGCAGGCAGGGTAGAATTTTTCTTTCAGGGAAAATAATCGGGGGCCATGAAGCCAACCCTCATTCTCGTCCCTACATGGCATTTCTCTGGATCTACAAACCAGACAAAACCTGGAAACAGTGCGGGGGTTTCCTTGTACGTGAGGACTTTGTGCTAACAGCAGCTCACTGCTGGGGAAGGTAAGAAGGGACGCCTGGAACCCCGCCCTTCTGTGACACCTCTCAGGTGTTAACTGTGAAGTTAACTTCTGCCCAGCCTGGGCTGCCAAGAAGCAGAGGGCACAGAGATGCTCAGCCCCAGGGCCCCATTGCCTATAATTACTCTCCAATTCCTGTCCTGTCCTGTTCCTTCCACGGCTTTGAGGCTGTACCTCCTGTCACCCCACCCCCCACCCTGCTCTGTGTGCAGCCTCATGACTGTGACGCTGGGGGCCCACAACATCAAGAAGAAGGAGAGGACCCAGCAGATCATCCCCGTGAGAGAAATCATCCGTCCCTCAGGCTACACTTCTGAAACCTTCCTCAATGACATCATGTTACTGCACGTAGGGCCCTCGCTCCACTGGTTCTTGTGCACTTTATTCCTGGGGGCTTTGCATTCCCTGGGACCTCATTCTTCTCCCTCCTTCCCAGTGTGACCTTCCACTTGACCCGGGGCTGTGAAGATGGCAATGCCATGACTGTCCCGGGGCTCTTTGTGACTATCGGTAGATTACAATACCTTTCCTCCGGCACTCAGCTGTCAAGAAAGGCCCGCCTGGATGCCAGCGTGAGGCCCATCAAGCTGCCCAAAAGGAATGTGAGGGTGAGGCCAGGGACGGTGTGCAGTGTGGCCGGCTGGGGACAATTCAGAATGGACAGCTCCTCTGGGGCAGAGAAACTGCATGAGGTAGAGCTTGAAATCCAGAAGGATGAGCAATGCATGTCACACTACAATCACCTGTATAACCCCGCCACCCAGATGTGTGTGGGGAACCCAAGAAGGAAGAAGTCTGCCCTTCAGGTGAGATCCCCAGTACTGTCCATGCCCAGCCCTGGGACAGCCGCGCTTTGAGAAGAGGCAGTGAGAACTAGCCATATCCCTGTCTTCAGCCTTTCCATCCAAACCCATCTCTGGCCCTGTGTCTGTAGCAGGGGTGAGAGACTGTCCCACAGCTCCTTATGGGCAGAGGTTTTCTGAGGGAGAAGAGGGAAGGGAGTGTAAGGACCAGGCTGGAACCCCAGGACCAGGTGAGGCCACAGGCCTACCCTGGCCCTGATCTCACCCACAGCCCCCTAACAGAGACCACCTATCCCCAGGGACAGCAGGGAGGCAGGACCAAAGAAGGGTTGGCTCAGCCTTTCCTCCCTCTGCCCACAGGGAGACTCCGGAGGCCCCCTTGTGTGCAACAACGTGGCCCAGGGCATTGTCTCCTGTGTAAAACACTGTGGGACACCTCCACTTGTCTACACCAGGATTTCAGGCTTTATGCACTGGATAGAAAAAATAATGAGACACTTCAGCCCACCGGGACCAGACTCAGACGCCTCCAGGATCAATCCATCCACCTTCTCTGGGGCAGAGGCCAGAACTGCACTGGGCAAAGGGGGTGGAGAGGAGGCCGCCAGGGACTTAATAAACTTCCATCTCTAGTGGAAATTAGATTCCTCCCTTATTCACCAAAACAACATTCATTCGTTATGGCGACCATTGGTTCACATTCTCCAGAATAAAAAGTTTTGCTGCACTGAGACCCATCTCCTTCCAAATACACCTTCCGGCGCCACAGCCCCCTGCCAGGCTGACTGTTAGCTCCATCGGGAAAAGGGAGACACTGTCCCGGGGAAAATGACCCTCTTCTAGAGCAAGCACCCTTCTATCTCATCCATATTGCCCTCTACCTCCTCCCACACCTACACTCCCACCCCATCCTACCTCAATATGGCAACATAAAGAAATCCATTTGGAAGGAGGACCACCTCAGAAGCTCTGAGATAGGGGGCCACTTCTCCACCCTAAGAGAAATGGGCGAGAAGATTCTGGAGAGCTGTAGCTCTCCCCATGCAGCGCTCCCTCCCCAAATCAGGGTGGCAGCTCGGAGCCTGAGAAGTTTCAAGAGGACCCTTCGGTGCTCCCAGCCTAGCCCGAGTGCCTGTCACAGCCTCGCCATGGTCGCACCCTCTGGTGTGCTGCAACCCATCTTCCATGGGCTTGAATGACCTTCAGGTGCTCTTCCATCTTGGTCTAATCCAGCCTCTTCCCACCTCACACTGATTCGCAAGTGTGTGCATGCGTGCGTGCGTGTGTGTGTGTGTGTGTGTACGTGTGAGTGTGTCTCCAAAGGAAACTTATTATAATAAAAAGTGTGTTTCAAAGGTATCCTATTATTTCAAAGGTGTGCTATAGCTTACAGCTTATCGAGTAAATTTTTTCTCCCATTTTTCAACCATCACTAAGTCTCTTATATAAAAACACCCACCTTAGGGGCTCCTGGGTGGCTCAGTCAGTTAAGTGGGTGACTTGGGCTCAGGTCACGATATCATTGCTCATGAGTTTGAGCCCCACATCAGGCTCTGTGCTGACAGCCTGCTGTGGATAATGTGTCTCCCTCTCTATCTGCCCCTTCCCCACTCAGGCTCTGTCTCTCTCCATCAAAAATAAATAAACATGAAAAAAAATTAAAAACACCCACCTCAGGGGTACCTGGGTGGCTCAGGTGGTTAAGCATCTGACCCTTCATTTCGGCTCAGGTCAGGATCTCACAGTCCTGATCCTTTCTGACAGCCCAAAGCCTGCCTGGATCTCTCTCTCTCTCTCTCTCTCTCACTCTCTCTCCCCCTCACTCTCTGCCCCTCCTCCACTCATTCTCTCTCCCTCTCAAAAGAAATTAACATTTAAGCAAACAATAACAAAAAAATAAAATAAAACCCCCACCTAAGTGAAGGCAGCCTGAAAAGAAGCGGTTTGCTGAATGTCTGCCATTGATGAGTGTGCTTAGACTGAGGGGAAAGGTACACTCAGCGCAGATTCTTGGTCTGCCCGTGGTGACCATCAGCATCTCAAGCTCAGGAGCCATGCCTCTCATGTCCCCGCACCCAGCTAGCTCAGTTATTATTCACGGTTTCCTCAGAATGGAAAAAGAGCCAAGAGCCGAGAAATAAAGACATTTTTGTCTCGATTTAGTCACCGAGTGGCTTCTGAGGTACCAGCCCTTCTGCGGGCTGCAGTCCCAGCCGTCACTTTCTTGTTATTTCTTCTCACGTTCACCTCGTGACTCAGCAGTGGGAGTGCAAGTGTGGAAGCAGTACCGTTGTCACCCAGCCCAAGAAAACCACTTTGTATGACGACGCCCAGCTCTACAGGAACACAAGTCGAGGAGGCCTAGACGGTCAGTGAGCCACCTGTCCTTCATTCCCCTCAGGGCTTCACTTCTGGAAGGAAGAAAGACAGGCTGCTCTGACCTGGGCAGAACTTCAGGGAAGATGCAACCACTTCTGCTTTTACTGGCCCTTCTGCTGCCCCTTGAGGCCAGGACAGGTGAGTGACCAGCCCCATTCCAGAGACCTGAGCCCATCCCACAAAGCCCCCTGTAAGTCCTGACCCTTCTGCCCAGTGCGGCCCTGGATTGTCCTCCTTTGAGCCCAGGAATTTTCTGAGCCCCAGCTCCTATCTCAAACCAAGACTGACAGGTCTGATGCTCGACAGACACACTCAACAAGGATGGCCAGCAGGAAGGGTACTCCCTAGAAGGATGGCTTGGAAAGTGGGTTGTTTGTAGAAAGACATTTGGTAGGAGATATGAAACTACAAAAGACAGGCATTGAAATTGCTCGCTCCAACCCAGGAAAGGTAAGCTCAGACCAACCAGCTGCAGTAGAGGGTGTTGTCCCTGGACTCAGCTTTAAAAGCCAATTAAATTTCTCAGTGCTCTCCACCTGCTCCATCCTGCCCACGGAGGGTGATCTCAGCAGCAGCTAGATGACTGTACCCCAACCTCAGTCCCAGGCCCGTGTAACCCATTGTCAGTGCCACCCACCCCTGCGTTCCTAGGCCCTCGGCTGCTCCACTGTCTTTGCCGATGCCCTCCCTGATTCCTGCGGCCTTGAATCCCACCAGCCCTATCTCTCCATCCAACCTCAGCCAAATGCTAATTGAAAGCTGTTCATTCATGCAACTTAAAAATGTCTACTGACACCTTAGGATGTGCGAGGCCCTGGAACATGACGATATTAGAGAATCCAACTCCATAAGGCCATAGGTAGCTTATTAGAAAATGGCACCCATCAGGATGTTAGCAGAGGCTCAGACGGGCCCGGGGGGACTCACTGAGAAAGAAGGCATCAGGGGAGTCCTGTCCACGATCCTCTGAGATTCTACCATTTTGAAGGTAGATCTTACCTCCCCTACACACTTGTCTGAAATAGGATGTGGAGAACAAGCACTGTCCCTTCTCAGGGGGGTTTTGAGGCATGAGGTTCAGGAAAGGTCCTCTGGCTACAAGGAGAACCTGAGAAGACCATCAGTCACCGCCTTCTTACTCTTTCCTTCCTGACCACAGCTGCCCCCAGTCACCCCATCCACCAGCCTTTTCTTTCAGAGGAGATCATCGGGGGCCATGAGGCCAAGCCCCACTCTCGGCCCTACATGGTATTTGTTCAGTTTCTCGTCGGGAACAGCAAGAAGAGGTGCGGCGGTGCCCTTGTGAATGAGGACTTTGTTCTGACGGCTGCTCACTGCTTGGGAAGGTGAGGGGCAAAGACCCCTAGGGTGACCCCTGCCCTTCCCCCCCATGGCTGCAGCCCAGGGGACCATCCGAGGCTCCTAGTCACTCAAGCCTATGAGAGCTCATCAAAGGAGCCAGCTAAGAGTGTGGCTGGGGCAGAGAAAGGCTGACACATAGGACAGGTGAGCTTTGGAGTCAGTGGATCAGATGTGAGAGTAAGTGGCACAGTGGAGAAGAGATGGACCACACCAGGCAAATAAAGCAGCAGCGGAGGACGGAAGCATGCCCTAGCACCAAAATGCAAACTCACAGTAATTTCATGATATTACTTGAGAGCAAAAGAGAGCTCCCAGAGCTCCTACCCTCAGTGTCATTAAAAAAAAGAGAATCCAGGACCCATCTGTCACCTCTATGTGCCCCTCGGCTCCAGTCCTGCCCACCCTGGTTGTCACCTGCCCTTCCTGGTTCCTGGGCAGAGCTGTGTCCTGTGACCCCACACCCCCACGCCCCACTCTGCTCTCGTGCAGCTCCATCAACGTCACCCTGGGGGCCCACAACATCAAGAAGCAGGAGAAGACCCAGCAGATCATCCCCGTGAGAAGAGCCATCCCCCACCCAGACTATAATCCAAAGAACTACTCCAACGACATCATGTTACTGCAGGTAAGGAGACCTCCCCACTGCCCTCGCTCTCCTGGGTCCACATTGTCTCCTCTCCCACTGGGACCTGTCCCCTCCTTCATACCTGGCCTGGCCACCTGACCAGTCTCAGTGGCTCAGGGGAGAAGGAAGACAGGGCAGCCGCATAGAGTACCTGGGCCCAGAGACCACTGACTGAGCTGGCCCCTCTTGCTTCTTTCCATCAGCTGGTGAAAAAGGCCAAGCTGACTGCAGCTGTGAGGCCCCTGGGCCTGCCCAAAGGCAAGGACCGGGTGAGGCCGGGACAGGTGTGCAGTGTGGCTGGCTGGGGACGCATGGCCATGGGCACTCTAGCAACCACTCTGCAGGAGGTAGAGCTGATCGTGCAGGAGGATCGGGAGTGCAGATCCCGCTTCCGTGGCTATTACATGGGGGCCACCCAGATCTGTGTAGGAGACCCGAAGAAGATGAAGACCAGCTTCAAGGTCAGGCTTCCAGCATCTACCTAGACAGGTCCCAGGGCTGAGGAACCTAGGGATGTCCGGGGTATGGGAGTGGCTGTGCCTTCATGCCTCAGCCTGAGAGCCTGGGCAGCTGGGTCTACAAATCCAGTCTTCAGTTCCCCACCCCTTCCAGTGGTCCCCTGTTGGGGGAAGAAGGCTTAGTCTCCTCACAGCAGCCTTGTCACCTGTGTTTCCCTGAGGTTTGGAGAGAAATGTTTGGCCTGGTTGGTGCTGGAAAGAACAGTCAGTGCCTGGATGGAGTGCAGGGACCGAGAGAGGGGACAAGGTCTGCCCAGGGCCCAATCTCCCATGCAGCCCCCTGACACAGACCCCCAGCCCCAGGGCAGTGGGGAGGGCAGGACCACCAGGAGTGCGGTCACCAGCCCAGTCCTTCCTCTCTCTGCCCACAGGGGGACTCTGGGGGACCCCTCGTGTGTAACAACGTGGCCCAAGGGACTTTCTCTTACGGAAACGGGAATGGGACACCTCCAGGGGTCTTCGACAAGGTCTCACACTTCCTGCCCTGGATAAAGAGAATAATGAAGCACTTCTCTCAGCAGGTGTGAGGCTAACTGTCCTCTGTGCTTGGCCACCTTTTCTGGGGAAGAGGCAAGAACCCCTTGGGGCTCGGGGGATGGGGAGTGGGCATTGCAGGGTCATAATAAATAGACCTCTAGAGCAAATATGGCTGCGGTCTTATTTATTCACTGAACCACTTTCAATATGCAGCAACGCTGCCCCAGGAAGTTTTCTGCTGTCATTTCCAGGTTTTGCTTTCTCCTTTCTCCCCCAGCCCTTGGTCCTCCCTAAACCCTTTGCTGCATAGTTTCTCATCAGTTTCTCAATAACACCTCTTTGGGGCTTAGCCCTCTGCAAGGGTTCAGCCTAAACTCTGTTATAAAAGGACAATCCTCTCTCCCCAAAAATCATCTTTTCTGGGCCATAAAAATGCCATAACTTCTCTAAGCCAACCACCATCACCAACCCCACAATTTGGTCAGTGGAAAGGGAATAACTCCAGGGGACCATGCCACAAGCATTCCATTTCCTGTTTCCGGGGGGGGGGGTCTTTCTGGGGCAATGGGGGCAGGTTTCTCCTACAGCCAAGACTTTCTGCAGCTTAGGAAGCTGAGATGCAGCCCCAGCCCCACCCAGGTTTCACTTTTCTGCACTGCCCAGGGCCCAGGAATAAATTCAGTTAACCTTCCTCCCTGGCTGACCATCCCACAACAGCCTCTGTTTTCCATCCTGCCACACCTGGAGCTGCCAACCCACCCAATGCCTGTCAGAGGAGCCAGTACCCACCTCCCAAGGAGTAGGACCTGCTGAGTCCCTCAGTCCAAACCAGCATTCCCCAGGAGCTTAGCTACTATAGCCTATGGAGTCACTCACTCAGTAGTTCAGCCCCTTTAAGCCTGGCCTAGTCTCAGGACCCAGACTCCCCCTGCTGGTACCCTGGGTTATGGCAGCTTTGTGAGGCAGAGGGCTCCAGGCTGCTGGACTGTAAAGTACCACATTGCCATCCACCAGATCAAATTTGATCTCTTTGTGCCAAGCATATAAGGGGCTCTGTTCCTGCCATTGGGAAACATACAGTGATGAGACATTTCTCCTAAATTCTCCTGGTTTCTCTCCTTCCACCAAGCAGTTCAGTTTGGCATAAATGGATCTGTTTTTAGAATCCACAAGAAAGCTTGTCTCTCTTTTTTTTTTTTTTTTTTAATGTTTATTTTACTTTTGAGAGACAGAGATGAGCTGGCGAGGAGCAGAGATAGGGGGGACAGAGGATCCATAGCAGGCTCTGTGCCATCAGCCCAGAGCCCGATATGGGGCTTGAACTCATGAACCATGAGATCATGACCTGAGCCGAAGCCTGACATTCAACCGACTGAGCCACCTAGGTGCCCCAAGAAAACTTGTCTTGAAAATAATTGACATCCCTAAACTTTATCTGTATCACACATCACAGTTTCACAGGCATGACTTTGTTTGGTTCCAGAAGGGCAATGTGAAGTTGGAAGAAAGTGGGAGACTCACAGGTCCTCAGGTTTGTAATCTATGCACGATAGAGGCCATGCCCAGAAGTGAGGGAGGGAGAGAGGGAGAAGAGGCAGGTTTATTTTTATTTCACACGTAGAAGACATGAACTTTAGTCCACAGACCCATGAAATGCCACATTTCAGGTGGAAGATAGTTCATTGTGACCAGATAACCTTATTTTAGGGTCCCATATCCTTCAAACACCACAACTAGTGAGTTGAATGTGACAGAACAAATTCACGATAGCTGAACAACTAGACAAACACTGAATCAAGTAGGACCCATATCAAAAGGAGAAAGAACTGGGGCACCTGGGTGGCTCAGTCAGTTAAGTGTCCGACTCTTGATTTGGGCTCAAGTCACGATCTCTCGGTGGTGAGATCAGGCCCTGGGTTGGGTTCAGCACTGGGCATGGAGCCTGCTTAAGATTCTCTCTCTCTCGGGGCGCCTGGGTGGCTCAGTCAGTTAAGCATCCGACTTCAGCTCAAGTCATGATCTCGCGGTCCATGAGTTCAAGCCCCACTTTGGGCTCTGTGCTGACTGCTCAGAGCCTGGAGCCTGTTTCGGATTCTGTGTCTCCCTCTCTCTCTGACCCTCCCCCACTCATGCTCTGTCTCTCTCTGTCTCAAAAATAAATAGACGTTAAAAAAAATTTTTTAATAAAAATAAAAAAAAGATTCTCTCTCTCTCTCTCTTTCTCTCAAAAAAAAGAGAGAGAGAGAGAGAAAGAACTTCAGTAAAAAGGAAACAAACCACATAGATGTGAAAAACAAAATCCAGTACACTGAAAAAAAAGTGAAAAGCAAATAAAAGCCAATGTTTCACACAAGACTGTCCCTATGTCCATTTGCCAAGTCTTCCCTGGAGCTCACAGCACAAAGCAATAGCACAGTTGAGATTAAAGCTGAATGCATGTATGGAGGTGAGCAAGAGAACAGTAGAAGGTGATGACCAGGGGACAGCTCTGGGCACAGCAGTAAAAAACAACACTCTGAGGAGAAGCCATCACACCTAAGAAATGTAGAGACCTCAGAAAGTCAGCCATGAAGAGCTCCATGGAGCCCCAGGATGCAAGGTTGAGCCAAGGGCAGAGTAACCAAGGACATCCACCACCAGGGGCAGAGGTGTGTGACCTTGAAAGACAGAGCCTGATGGGTCAGTTTTTCCCTTACACCTGATAGAAGCACTTGACACAGTATGACATACGTTAGGAAGAAAAACTATTGCCTTACAATGACGGTAGCATCATGAAGACTGGGCTGCTGTTGACGTTCCCTTAAAATTTTGAAGTCAGTTCACACCTATTTCTCTCTCTTGCTTTTGTGATTTTTATTTCTAGAACTTAATCCTATATAAGGTTTAAAGTGTGTGTGTGTGTGTGTGTGTGTGTGTGTGCACGTGTGTAGGAAAGTTATTGAAAAGGTGTTCATTAATCACATCATTATTTAATAATGGACCTCAGATTGGAATTACTATTAATGTCCAAAATGGAGAAATGGTAAAATATGGCACATTTATATTATGTATTATGCAGCCATTGACATCTACATTGTCCACCGCTCTAGAAAACTAGGCTAAGGAAACAAAAAAAAGAAAACTAAGCCAAAAACATTAATAGGCAAGTTATTAAAAAAAAAAAAGTTGATACATGTGTTAGTTAAGACAACCCTAACTACTCTACCAGATAAACTTTAGCATTTCAGTGACTCACACAATGGAAACCTGTTTCTCACTCACCCACAGTCCAAAATGAGTGTTCCTGCTGAGTAATGCCCCTTTTTACTCTCAAGTATCCCAGCTGGGACAAAAGTTACATGTGTGCCCATGATTAAGGAAACCAGGCTCAAGTTCCTAACGATGTCTTCCAAGTCCCTCTTGTTCATCCAAGTGGAACCCAGGTAGAGGTTCATTATAGGCCAGTCTGAAAGGTACAACACCATCTCCATTCACACCCCATTTGCTACAGTAATCACACAGTCACACCTCACCTCAAGTGAGGCTGGATGACTGGGTTCACCCAGGTCCTCTGCAAGAAAAGGAAATTGTTTTGCTAAACTGCTAGCTCGCCTCTACCACAATTCGTTATAGTGTTTGCTGTTTATAAGGATCATGGGCCCTAAATTTTGTTCTGCCTATAAAACTAATACACACTGATGACAGAAAAAAATGGATAATATAAAGGTGAAAAAAAAAGAGTCATAAAATGATTATTCTGGCTGTTGCTCTTTTTAAACAGAATTAGTATCAAATTGCATACACCACATCATATTCTACTTTTTCCACTTACTATTAGGTGATGCAAAGTGCTCCATGCCACTAAGCAGTCTTCCAAAACATGCTATTTAATGGCCAGATAGTATTTCATTCCATGAATGTATCAGAATTAATATTACTGAGCTCCTATTGTTGAATAGTTGGATGGCCTGAGCAATTGGGAAGAGAGTCTCAAGGTATATGTCCACCTCCACCTCTTTCTCACATTTACCCAAGGCCCCAGGGCCAGTCACTCCATCTCACTAGTGTGCTTTTCTTCCAGGAGACACTGAGGTCCTTGAGCCTCTTTTCAAGTCTTCCTCTGCCACATCCAGGGTTTCTGGGTCCTTCTTTCCCTCAAACTACGCTGATGGGGAGATTGTATGCAGATCCCATTGACTTTCCTTTGTCACCTGCTCTTTCCTACTAGACCAAAACAAGGGCCAGTTCTTTGCAAGAAAGTGCCTCACTCCCAGCAGACATGTGTGGTGGGAAGACAATAGTGAAGAAACAGACTTCTCCCAGGGCTGGCACTCCATAAAACAATCACCAGCTCATCAGTAGAAACTTCCCAAGGAGCTTCTAGTCTGTCCTTCTAACTGTGATATTAGGGCAGCCCTAAGAATGTCCGGAACTTCTCAGTAGTACACTGGTCTCCTACAATGCCAAGGGCAACCAGATTGGTTTCTGACCAGAGCAGCATCAAAGGGAGGGAGAGGAAGTGTCCCAGCCTCAGCAGGCAACTGCCAGCCCAGAGCTTTGCATTTTGGCGGTATATGGGGCCCAGGGAGGAGGTGGGAGACATCCTACTTTAATGTCCCAATATCCCAGAGGAGAAAAAAATTGTAACTGACGGAAATGTAATAAAACAGTCAAATGTAGATGTAACCAGCTAGGAATATTGTGAAATGTACCAGAGTCATGTTTGTTCAAATATCACAATTTTTATTAAAAGGGAAAATCAAAACATTAAAAAAAATATGTGCCCCCATTTATTCTGACATTCCATTCTCTGTCCAAATGGTCTCTCTAATCCCCAACCACTGGAAAACCAACTTTTAAGAAATTTTTATTGCAGGGGCGCCTGGGTGGCTCAGTCGCTTGAGCATCCGATTTCGGCTCAGGTCATGATCTCACAGCTGGTGAGTTCGAGCCCCGCGTCGGGCTCTGTGCTGACAGCTCAGAGCCTGGAGCCTGCTTCGGATTCTATGTCTCCCTCTCTCTCTGCCCATAACCCACTCGCATTCTGTCTCTGTCTCTCTCAAAAATAAATAAATGTTAAAAAAAAATTTTTAATAAAAAAAGAAATTTTTATTGCAAAATATACACACATGAAATATATATACACTTAAGAATGCTGGCCAAATTTCAGAAAGCCCCCATGTGT